TCAGAAGAAGCGCAGTGAGATTCCCTGCTTTTGGGAGAATTGGCCAGGAGGCTGTCAGAAAGCCCACTTTCTTCACCTGAAAGCACTTTTCTTCACCTGAAGGAACGCGGTGGGAACGGACCGACCATCCCACCAAGCAAAGGTGAGTTTCTGATGGCATGAAGCATGGAAGACTTAATTTTGAATATTACTTCTGAGTGGGTGCAGGATGTCAAGTAACCATTCATTGGGGAGTGCAGGGAAGAGTCACGATAAGTGACATATTAGTTGTGTTTTGGCTGTCAGAACAGTGGTGGGTTTTTCCTGGAGAGAGGTAAATGCACTGCAGGACTGTAGAAATGGCACAACATTTGAGCAGCAGAAAGGCAAATGTAAGAAACAGTGCTTGAAAATGTGAAGCTTGTGGTTGACTGTGCTGAAACCTTCCTCCAAAGAGATGCTCTTCAATTATTTCTTGTTTTCTTTCTGCCAGAAGCTGACTCAAGTGGTCTCCCTGTGAACAGCGGCCTTGCAGAAAGTCTGGGCAACCAGACAGAGGTTGAGAAGGCACCAGAGAGAAGTACAGATACTAAACAGGCATCTGGGTTTGATGCACTATCTTTCTACTTAGATTTTCTGATTGTTCTTTCCTGGGACTGTTCTCTGCAGTTGACATCCCAACTTCCTCCCATGGCCTGGCTGGACAAAAATGCAAGAGATCTGAGGATAGGAAGGGAAAAGCAAAGAAACTGCCTTGCAAGAAAAGACTTAAGGGTGAGCACAAGGAGCTCGTTGCAGTGTCTCAGAAAAGTAATGCTGTCACTTTGGGTTGTTAGGTGTCAGAGTTTTCCTTGCCCTGGATTATTACTGAGTGCAGCTATTGGGTTTCTTTGTTCCTTTTTATGAGTTGTTGGTAGATAAAGATGACTGTGTGGAAAACTTTGCTGAGAATCCTGGACGTGGCAATATAACTCCACTGGTCAAATGTATTTAATTTTGTGGAAGGGCTGTGGGAATGATAAGACAACGTGAATCTCTCTTGAGGCACAGCAAGGCTGTATCAGCAATCTCTTCCTTTTACTGTAGGTGGACGCAAGGTATCTGTGAGACCTACTGACTGGAAAACCACCTTCCCCAGAATGCAGAGATGGACGTGAAAGGCAGCAGAGATGCATCTGTCTGCTGCTGAGGACATGGATGAGCCCCCGCTAGAAAACCACCTCTAGTAAGAAGAACAGTGGCAAAAGCAGTAGTGGATATGGAAGGTTTACATTGCCCTTGAAGAAAAGGTAGAAATTTCAAATGTTCTACAGGTCTTCTGTTTCCTTTGAAGGCAGCAGATGTTTCACAGGGTACTTGTGGAAACTTTCTGTTTTGATTAGATGTAGAGCAATGATTATGTAATACTCTGTGATTCCACAATTCTGAGATTGCTCAGTGGTGTGAAGGATTTTGTCCATTAATGCTGCGCTGTTAAAAACACCCAAGGTCACTTGTAACCTTCAAGAGAATGCTTTCTTTAGGAGCACTGTAGTTCTGTATTTGGGTTCAGGCTCAGCTGTGGAAGGGAGGAGGAGTCCTCAAAGATCATTGAGTGTTCCACCTGTCCTGCTGTGGCCAGGGTTGCCAGCCACGAGATCTGACTGCCTGGAAACCCACCCAGCCTGGCTTTGAATGCCTCTAGGGATGGAACATCCACAACTTCTCTGGGGAAAGAAGTTACTTAGGAATTTCATACACACTGTTTGTTTCTTCCTAGGCGATTCTTGCTTCTGTCCCACCTGAATACACCTTGGTCAGTGTTGAAGTCGTAAAACTTTCAAGCAGGTGATGACCACAACTTGTTCTTCATCAGTGCCATTTTTCCATGAGACATAAGTTCTTTCACATCAGGGGAAAAATGGGGTGTTTGAGATGTTTCATGGCATAATCCAGCAAAGGAGGAGGTCATCTGAAATAATTTAAATTGCTTACTCAAATCTCTGCTGAGTATGTCATGGGGAAAAGTAACTCAGTTAGTAAACAGGTTTTTGCAGAGGATGAATTCTTGACATATTTACAGTCAAATTAATGAGGGTGGCAATTTGTTTCTGCTACAAAGCTTGGCCCCTGTTTTCTAGACTCAAACTGCTCTATCTGTACAGATAAATTCCCACTATGAAAAATGTATCAGCTGGTATCTTTGCACTCTAAAGGCAGGTTAACTGAATCGCCATCCCTTTGTGAGTGTGAGGTGCAGGAGGGGTTAACTACAGATCTCAGAGCTGGTTTGCTGGAAGCGTTTCTCCAGTTAGAAATGTCATGTACTGATTGTTCTCTTCCTTGTTCTCCCAAGTCTGGAACTGCTTCCAGGAAGCTGAGAAGACTCTGTGGCACAGGCTGAGGACTCAAACTCAACATCCCATTCCTCACGAGAAGCAGATGAGGCACAGCAGCTGAGCTGCACAGAGCTGAGCGAAGCGCTTGCTTGTCACTGAAGATGATGGCATCGAGATGTTACTGATGGAAATTGCAGGAGAAGAACTGGAAGAAGAAATGGATGTAGACTGAGAAGGATGCAGATGAGCTCCTTCTGGAACTGAGGTAATTAGCAGTGTACTACCATAGTCTGATTGTGTATTTTAAAACAAACAACGACAAAAACCAATTTAAACCAACCCTAAATTGTTCTCTTGTTGATATTTAGATATGGACCTCAGTGAGAGGAGGGCAATGTTGTATGCCCAGATACTGCTGTGACCTCAATAGCCACCTTCCCTGCTTTGTTTCTTCCCAAAAGCTGTTGCTATTATATGACAGATGCAAATGGATCCTGCATTTCCCTGCAGCACATGCAGGGTTGTGCTTTCACATGTTTGACAACTATTGAAATCCACCAGGGAAAATATTCTGTAGGAAAGGTTGCTTTTCATTCCCTAACAAACGGCTCTAAGACTTTATCAGTCAAAGACAGAAAGAAGTCCCTAAACTCGAGGGCATTTAAAGGAGCTCTGTGTGTGTCTGGCAAAGACATGCTTGGCCAAGCACAGGGGAACCCAGACACAGGAGGGAACAGGAAGAGCACAGTGTGTCGGAGGAGGGATTTTGAAACAGACTTGCTATAAATGTTAAATATGGACTCTATCAAATGAGGGACTGGGAAGGACCAAGCCCGGTGTCTGCAATCAAAATGCTCCCGTCGAGCAACAGCATATAGGTTCTATAAGAGAATGAATGCACTTAATGTATCCCTCTGTTACTAGGCAGGTTTCTAGGCAGGCTTCCATCTAACTTTTATATTTTGTTGTGACAGAAATAGCTCTGATCTTTTGGGGTTGAGTTTTAGTCGGGGAATACAGCATCCATTCCTCCTCCAATCTCTGCCTGTGCCTGTTCTCATTTCTTTCTCTCCTGTTCTAGCCGAGCTTTCGGTCTGCAAAAGGCTCTTTGCTCTGCTGAGCTCTGCTGTGCCTGCTGCCACTAGCCACAATAATGGAGCAGAGCAAACTGCATCAACACACAGGATGGGATGCAGTAGCAGCAAGAGGTTCCAGGGGAGCATGAGCTGCAGGCCCACGTGTGGATGGCCAAATGCTTGTGCATGGCATTCCTGTGGGTAAAGCAAGTGAGTTCCATCTGCACCAGCCTCATTTCCTACCTCTCCTTCACACAGATGGCTTTCACAATGCATCAGTGTTTAAATAGTTTAAGGACCTGGCAAGATATCAGAGACTGACTGAGAGGTATTAACAAGGAAACCTCAGTGGGATTCTTTCCAACAGTTTTCTTCCATGCTTTTTGGTTTTACCCATTATAAAAGGAATAACTGTTGCTCTGAGGGCAGTTTGGAAAAACCAGAGCCTGGATAGCACCTATCTGGATGTGCCCAAGTCTTGTGGCTCCTGCAATTATGCAGACCTCAGAATGAGTGTGACTGAGCATCTCTGCTCATCTTGGGCTCAGAGGTGGAAATCCAGGTGTGCTCCTGCCCTGATGCCCCATGGATACCCCAAGTTTGACCTCAGGAGCAAGCAAAGCAAAACGTCTGAGCTGAATGTGATGCAGGGCTGTTTCTCTTGTCTTATCAAATCCTGCCTGGAGACCAAAAGTGGAAGGAAGGGGACTCTGCACAAGGCAATAAGCAAAGAGCTGCTCCCTTCCATCACCCAGAGGTAATGAAGGGTAGAGTTGCATCTGCTAAATACCAGCAGTTGGGAAACTTCCTTTCTGCCCCAATCTGTCCATAAACCAGTTGGTTCTTTTTCTAGTGCCTTCCTTCCTTGATACCTCCCCAGATAACACTTGGTTGGTGCCCACATATGTGGAAGCAACTGATAGGGACTGAATAATTTTGCACTTGGATGTGTAAGGCAGCACTCACTGTGTTGTGTTGTGGCTGGTTGATTCACCCATCTCTTTATAGGGCTGATTGATGCAAACTTGATTTTCCCTCTGAGCTTCCTCTGTTCACAAGAAATTCCCATCTTGAATAAACACTCCTGCAAGAGGTTGGGGTTTCTGGGTTGTTCAGATGGAATGAAACATAACTAAACAAAGGGCTTTGAGTTCATTCCCTTTTCTGATAAAAGGAAATAAAAATAAATAAAAATAGAACCAGGCTTGGTGGGCAGCATCTCAGTTGGGGTTCTACCCCGCTGTAGTGCACGTCTTGGATTTACTTTTTAATCACCCTTATGGAGGGCATCCTTAAGTGTCAATCAGCAATTTTATCAGCACAGTGCTGAGAGCCATCCGGAGTGCTCCACTGAATGGCAGGAGCTGTGCTCACTTTTTAGAGGAGATCCCTTGCAGTGCTTGGGAGTGCTGTAGCAAAAGTTTCTCCCATGCTCTCTCACCACTTCAGCTTTGCAGCAGCTGAGGCATAGCAGTTAATGAAACGATTGCAATTAGCTCAGGCACAGCAGCGAAGGGAAGAAAGGAGTGGGGAGGAGCTGCATGCAGGCCTTGGTACCCAGCGTTTGGGTACCAAGCTTCAGTGTATGCCCTGCTATACAGCTTCCTGGAGTCCTTCAAATAAACTACTAAACAAATGACATGTTGCTCTGCGAGTTCTATTTATCTTTATTCATCACGATTTCCATGCCTTCTTTTTCTCTTTTGCCCTGTTATTAGAAACGGTTTGCTCCAGTCAGTTTACAGCTCCTCCCCTGTTTTCCTGGGCCTGTTGAGGATTGCACTGTGACTGCCAGCCTCACACAGGGCAGGGGAGACCCACGCTGGCCTAGAAAGCTCCGGGCTTCTTGGCTGTCCTTGGGATGATGTGAGAGCAGCCCATCAAACACAGCAGCCATGGATGCACTTAGCATCCCACCAACGTGTGCAATGGTTTTCCTGCTGGGGATCTGCAATGGGAACAGAAGGTCACTGCCAGCACCAAGGTGGATGATGGCATCCCCATCACACATTGCCTCATCACGGTGCCAATACAGGAAGCATTTGCTTGCCACAGGTTTATCACTAGCATCTATACTTTGGGGCAAAATAATGGAATTATTTCTGCTGCTTTACGTGTGAGTAACTGCTGCATTTAATAGCAGTCTGGGTTCTCAGACTGCATTTATGGCTTGTTGTGAGGCAGAAATGGTGACACTTGTAAAGCTGTTTCCTCAACATAAAATATGTTGTTTAGTGTCTGATTTTAGCTCATCTGTTGATATGTGTTTGTCTCTTAGTATCTTGTATATTGTTTTATTTATACCCATAGGCCGAGACCTCCCCTATAAGAGCACATTGCACAGACAGGCTGCTCCAGCACTTACCTTTTCTTGCATTGGCCAATCAACATAAATATTAAGAGGCTACTTGACAACCCCAGGATGACTGGAATGAGGATAAATAGCTGCTTGACTTCTTTTCTGGTTACTGCAAAGAGAAATAATAACAAATAAGAAGTTCCTTTCTTGCAGAACAGGTTGCGTTGCTTTTTAAAACCTTGGGCTCCATGCATTTCAAGTGATTTCTTACCCTAAGTATATTCATTATTTTACTACAGACAAAAACTGATGGCTGTTGGTTCCCTACCAGAGAAGCACTCCTGTGTCCATTCGCTCCAGAAGCCCTCATCAGCACAGAAACTGTTCGTTCTCCCTCTGACACGGACACAAGAAACACGGCTCTGATTTGCTCTGGAGATGGTGAAAGCGGTTTCCACTTGGGTGGGCATGGACTGAAAAAGAAAACGGAGAGCAGTGAGGAGTTTGGAGCAGCCAGAGGTAGCTCTTTGGCATGGCCTGATGCTGCTGAACATGCTTTGCAAATCCTGGGATTACGTTTTGGTAGTTTTGAATGGTTTCATAATAGCTTTGGACCATCCAGTACCGGTAGTTATTATGGAGCTGAACCTCCTGAAACCACAGACACTCACAGGGCCCCTCTGTGTACGTTCACTGTTTGTGTCTGATCATTTGTGAAGCTAGCTACGGAGATTCATATGTAGAATGCAACACTTAAAGAACGTGTCCTCCAACCATCCCCTACAACTGAATGATTCTTGCTATGAAAACCATAACCGAATAACACAGAAGGGAAAACCCCCATGCATAAACATCTGCTCTATCCCAGGTCATTTCTCTGGAGCTCGGAGTCTTCACCCTTTCACTGGATCATGTTGTGCTACCAGATTCAAGGAAACAAAGCAAACCAAACCACGTTCTGTAGAGGCCATATATACACACAGACGGGCCCCCACCTCCCCGCCCCGCAGCAGGCTGCTGGCAGCCCCATGTGCTCCCTACCGCCCAGGCAGCCTTGGCCTCCCTCTGCTCCTCTGCCAGCTGCACCTCGTATTCCAGGCACTGGGGGGGTGTTTGGCCACCAGGTGGGCTCCACACCACACGGAGCTCCTCAGCTGCAGACATGGAGACCACCAGCTGCTGGGGGGGCGAGGGCTTGGCTGGGGGAGGAAAGAGAAGAGGAAGTCAGGAGGTGCCACCAACTGCGTCCTGGTGAGAATGGCTTTGGTTAATCACCACCAGGTTTTTTTTTTGTCCCATGCTCCCAGTGATGGGGTTTGATGGGGTTTTTCGGCTGCCATGATGCTGCAGGAGCAAAGGCTCCGCGTGGAGGCTGGGTTGGTTGTTTGTATCTGGATGTGTAGATAGGGCTGATGGCCAAGTGATGTGTTTGGCATGCTGTTCTCACAGGGCAGCCTGGACCCCTGCAGTGCATCATTGCTGTGGTGTTGTCCTGACACTGCATCCTTTATGCCATGTGCCCAAAGCTATATAGGAGAACACGACATCCCTAATTGAATCCAGAAATCCTGCTAATTAACCCAGGAGGATAACCCATTTATCCCCTGACAGTTACACGTGGGTAAATGTTGCTCCAAGCACCTAATGGAGCTGTGGCTGTTCCTGTTCAGTGCAGGAGTTGGACCAGATGGCCGTTAAGGATCCATTCCAACTCAAATGATTCAATGGAATGCATCAGCACAGGAAGTGCCCATAGCAAAGAGCTAGCATGTGTATCAGATTGTGTCTTTAGCTGCACTTTGCTTTGTTTCCCCATTTGTAGTGGGCCATGGGGGGCTTGAAACCCACCTTTGCATTTTGTTCCCATGGCTCTGGTAGATCACACTGCACCTTGCACCTGACTCTCCCCTGCCCCTGGCTTGCTTTCAGCAGCAATACCTGCAGAGCTCTCCTGTGCTTGCAGGAGCAGAGAAGTGACTTCAATTCCAGCAGGAGGAAATCAAGCCACATCTGCAGTTGTGCTGCTGGGAGCAAAAAACCCATAGCTGCTCTGCTCTGCCCAGCATCCCACTGATGTGAAGTCATCCAATGCCAAGCAAGACACTCAGCAGCACCTAGTGACCTGAGCACTGAGCAGCATCACCTCCTGAAAACACTGCTGGAGAATCAAGTCCAGCAGTGCATGTCCCCTTCTCCATTTGCAAGAGCACACATTAGTTTGAGCCCCTCATGCAAGCCATGGGCCTTCAGTGGCCATACAGGTCCCCCCAAGCCCTGCTGCCCTCCCACCAGCCTTACCCAGGTTGTGAAGGCGCAGGGTGGCATACAGAGGCCTCAGCGAGGTTCCTGCTACTGACCCATTGACACAGATGCTCAGGTCTCTGTATTCTGCCTGGCTCAGGTTTTGCAGCATGCAGCCCATGTTTATACCATGATCCTGGATATAGTTGTCGCACTGCACCGCGTGCTCCAGACCCTCATACCTAGCAGGAAAACATTAAAAAAGGCAATCAAAGCAAGAGAAGTTAGTTTGGGGTAAAGCCTTTCTCTATTTTTTTTATTTTTTATTTTTAAAGGACAATTAGATAGGAGCAAATAGACTTAAACCACGAGCATCCCTTTTGTCCTGCCTGCCCTACCCATCAAAGCACAGCGTCGTGCATCCTTCCTGCTATGGGAAAAAGTGTGGGAGGAAGGGAGAAAACAGCTGATTGTAATGGAAACCCAAGGGGTCTGATGGTCAGTAGTGATTATGCAAAAGCAACCCAAACCACCTCCTGGCTTTGGAGGTTACTCCCCAATGCAGTCCCCATGCTGGTAATGCCACGTGGGGCTTCCTATTGCCTTACATGACTCTTGTTGGGTTGTTGCCATTGAGGCAGAGCTGGGTCTGGCCTCTGTGCTCTGCTCCTAATGAAAGTCTCTCTGCAAAGCACATCATTACGTGGGGAAAGAAATCATATGGTAGTACTATGAAAGTTAACTCCCAGGGATCAAAGGACAGCAAAGCTGTGTTTCCACCCATCCTTATTATAAAACAGGACTAAGATCCAAATGCTGCTTTAGTTACAGGCAGTTAAATAACAGCAGGTTTGTTGTTGCTGTTGTTGGTTTTTGTGGAATTGGGGTTGGTTTGTTTTCAGCAACAAATAGTGAAATTTTCCATGGTTTTCTCCAAGTACTTTGTAAATTTGGTGTTTCTGCTTTGAAGAATATTTCCAAGAGCCACACTGAAACTATTTTTAAATAGCTGCAGTTATGCTTTTCTCTACAAATAGCCCGAAGTCACAAAACCCAATGGCCCATCATTCTCACCATAACATCACAGGAAATGAAGCACAAGTTATATTGTCCAAAACACATAATTCTGACTTTGTTTTTCTTGCAGAAAAAAAAAGTTGTTAAAAAAAAACAATAGAAATAACTGGGAAACATGCATTATTACTACCCCCATGGCATTTTCCATGGCATTTAAGTATGCTGAGTGATTCCAAGAGTGGTTCACTCAGTTGTTGACTGGGTATTATTCTATTTTGCTGATACATACCAATAGTATAGTCCATAATTTACACCACGAGGAGCAAGGAGACCTGGTTGCCATGTGCACTTGAGGTATTCCCAGTCATGATAGACGCAGTGAAAATTCTGAACCTCAGATTCCAGTTTCCCTGCCAAACGAGATGAAAATAATGACTGTGTGGCCAAGTGTCAGCCAGAAATATCATTGTACAGCTTTGAACAATTGTGTGCCTCTGTCAAGACAAAAAACGTTCACAGGAGGTGGTGGGGTCAAAAAGTAGGAAGGCTGCTCCTAACCTTGCAGTGGGACTCGAAAGGTGGCATGAACCCATTCACTCTGAAGCTCCACGTCGTTGGTACACCATCCTTTGAGCAGGGTCTGGACCTTCACTTCAGCAATCCTGCTGAGGTCAAATCCAACTCTGAGTTTTAGTTTCCTAGTAAAAATAACCTGGTTGAAAGACAGATTTTATAAACACCTCTTGTTGCTGAGCTGAAGAGTTAGCCACCATTGCACCATGGCTGCTGGTAGGCTCACCTGGGTGCTTTCATGTTTCTTTTTATTTCTATCCTGCTCCTCCTGCCCAGTGCTATTCCAGCATTTGCACAGCTTGGTGCTGCTGCTTGGGCTGCCCATCCTCACTGGCTGTGAATCCTCCCTTCCACCCCAGAAAAAGGAAGCCCAGACTGGGGATCAAGGCTGGGAGAAGGTTTCATCTCCCATCTTCTTTTATACAGGATAAAAGCAAGCTGGGGGAAGTTGCAGCAAAGAGGGAGAAGGGGTTGCACAGATCAAACCAGGACTGAAATGATGGACTGCAGAGTCAACATGTTTGCTGCAAGAGGAACTGCAGCCCACACTCAGGGTTTGGTCAGCAGTCCCAGAGTGTCAGAGCTCTGCTGAGCCACGTCCTTCTGCCAGACATTGCTGATGATGGATTCCCCGACGGCCCCATGGGTTGTTTTTTTAAAGTCAACTTTTCTTTGTGACCTTATCCAGCATTTTTGCAAGGTACAAGCCATGCTATTTCCTCCCTTTTGGCTCTGCCTTGCAGACATTTTCACTGGGACCCAGGGAATTCTGACGTGTTTTGTTTTTTGTTGTTTTTTTTTAAGCCTACATTCTCTCTTTTTTTTTTCCCCTTATTAAATAGCAGTTACAAACACAAGGCAGGAATCTGCACATATCCTTTTCATATCTCTCGGTGCTCCCCAGTACCTTGCACCAACCACACCAAGGGTTTCTCCTCTTCCCTCCAACCCCTCTGGCAGCTTTCCTCTCCTAAGGGCTCCCACAACATCCTGGCAACCCCACGTCTATCTGCATCTACACATCTCCAAGCTAAGGCTGACTATCTTATCACAGAGCTGAGCTGGAGTCAAACTTATCTAAAACACAGAAGGAAACATTGATTAATAACGCTCTTCTGAATATAGGGAATGTTTAACCATTAGGATAATTAATGAACTTAATCTGGTATTTATTTACCACGCTACATCCTTAAGGATGTGACACTGCCCGAGTTCAAGACCTTATAAACAAAGACTTTCTAAAACGCGCAGCGCCTTTTATGACAAGGGATGACACTGGATATCAGTGGATTATTTTTGGCAGCCAGCAGCACACTTCTGACAGAAATAGCCTTCTTCCAACCCTGACTGCTGCTGCTGCTGAGGAATTGCAGAGCACGCTCCTCTTTGGCAAACACTTCCATGAACTGATCCTGTGGAATGGCACTTGGAAGTGCTGCTTTACCAGTCGTGGTAACGCTGGTGCTTTAACTGCATGTATAAGCCAATGTCAAGAAATAAAGGAGCAACAGCAATCTAGGAGGATAGAGCTGTGCGTTCTCTCACCTTCCATTCTCTGTCGCCAGCGTTACGGTATTCACACTTGTATTTCACTGTGCAGTCATTGGAGGTCTGTATGTTGGGTGGAGGTTTCCACTCGATATCAAGAGGACCTAAAAGCCCGGGATCGATGATCTGAAGGTCTAGGGGGGGAGCAACTGCATTGGGAAACAAAGCGGGGAGTAAAAGGGATGTTGATTCAAAATAGCAACAATATCAAAAACAAACAAAAAAAAACCCAATAAGCGTGATGAAATTAAGCATGCTGTGGGTGTGAAGGGCAACACAGCTGGCTTCAGATCCAGTCCTGTGTGCATAACCCTCAACCATACACACACAACCTCTCTTCCTGCCCACTCAAAACCCAATGGGCATCAAAGAGGCGTAAAAATGCCACAGTATCCTTTAGAGGTGTTCTAAATCATACCATAGTATCACCATGACCTTTCAAGTCTTCCATCTGCTTGGGGTTACTAAGACACACTGCCTCAAAGCTCTGCCTGGAGCTGGAGCATTGATGCCTGGAGCATCATTCACGCAATGAAAGCCATTGAGCTCATTCTGTTTTATCAGTTCAGACAAAGTCAATGTGTGTAACAGGTGTTTTTTTCTCTCCATACACTGTCTGGAGGTGGTATTACCCATTTGGGTGCCTCCACGTTCATGGCATGATGTGTTTTCTTCACGGTGCTTTGGAGTCCACCTTTGGCTGTGTCAGTGCAGCATTGCCGTCACACATCCTCTTTAGAAAGCTGGCAGAGAACATCACTGATTACTTCTGAGGAAGCCCTCCCAGTGATGACCATTGCAGTCTTCAGCTCTCACACCTCCCAGCACGTGAAGCTTCGGTCTGGGAGACCAGCTGTTGTGTTAGGTGTCAATGTCAGACACCACATTAACGTATGTCGGGAGGTGCTGGGGTAAGGCACAATAGATTCTAACGATTTGGAGGAAAACAATGAGCTCTGATGCATTTTTATATAACAAGTACAATGTTTTGCCTCCCAGCAGCTCTGAGCCCAGCACCAGAGGGTGGCAGTGGCACTGTGGCAGCTCCAGGACCAGTGGACATGGTCTTTGTGGTGCGCAGGGCTGGGAGCCTTCTCCTGCTTGGGCAGAGGTTGTCTCACTGCTGTGCAAACAGAGCAACTTGCCCTTGTTTGGGAATCCAGACATAACTTCCAAGAGAGCCCTGGATTGCTTCGAATTGGAATTTCTGTTTCTCCAGAAACAATAACATTCTGAAATTTGTTTCCATCCTGATCTTTTTCTGCTCAGCCACACCTTTTTGAAACAATAGCGAGTAATTTTTCCAAAAGAAATTTTGACAATAATTAAAGTTCAGAGAGAACGGAAAAGCTTTGTTTTGGAATGCTGCTTTCTGGATGTTGCATTCCAGAACTCAACTCCTTTTTAAACATCAGCGCTGCCTCTTGCGGAATTTCTCATTATTACATTCTTAGATGATCTTGTCTAGATGATCTGAGCAATTTTTTCCAACCTTAATGATTCAATATGACTCTATTCCAGAAGGCACAAGTCTCACACACATTCTCCATTCAGGATATAGGACTGTGTCATCCAGCTTTGAATGAAAGCTGCTCCTCTGTGTTTCCTGCAGAACTCCTTCCTTCTGGACATAATTTGCACTGTTCTGAATCACATCCTAACCTGCTGGACAACTCTGCAGTCACCCCATCCTGCAGCCACCCCACTGCACTGTCAACCCATCACACAGCCATCTCATCCCACAGCCATTCTGTCCCGTAGCCACCCCTGTCCTGCAGAAAACCCATTGCCCCACCACCCTACTGCACAACCATCCCATCCCACAGCCACCCCACTGCACAACCATCCCATCCTGCAGCCATTCCATCACACTGCCACCCCATCCCACAGCCATCTCACTGCACAGCCACCCCATCCCACAGCCATCTCACTGCACAGCCACCCCATCCTGCAGCTGGGTGCTGTTGGCTCTCACTGCAGCATCACCTCCGTGGCAACAAAGTGGTGCACTGCAGCAGCCACCAGCACCTGGGATGGCTGCATCCCAGCACCGTGCAAGGAACCTGCTTGAAGGGCAGTGCTCGCATTAGTGCTTCAGATGCCACTGCCAACAGCTCATCGAGTAGCACTTCTTACACTATGAATAGACCCTGTGTTTCACTCCCCCCCTACGCACAGCTGGGATCACTATGCACCCAGTTGGTGTTTGTAAATGCCAGCCTTACATCAACACTCCGCTGACAGTTCACCCAAGGCACTTTCTGCTCCCTTTGAAGCCACTTGCGAAAACATCCCACTAAACACACCATGTGTTAACTGCCCATTCATAAACCCAGCCCTTGCCATAATAAAACCACGCAGAGCCCAGCATCATCCCAAGCCCAGGTGGCTGCCAGTGGGCTTACCTGCTGTGTGCCAGGGGGAGGAGGCGGCCACGCAGCCCCACACCAACATCAGGGAGAGGAGGGAGATGGGCTGCAGAGCCATCGCCAGCACTGGAGGAGCCCTTTGGTGCAGCATCCTGGTGGTGAAAGGCTTCTATCACTGTGGTGGGGCTGCGGAATTCCCTCTGCAGGGTGCACACAGATGACAATTGCCTTTTACTTGTTTACTGATTCATCATTTCCCAGAGGGGTTTTTCTGATTTTTTTTTTTTTTTTCCCCTGATGAGTGTAATTCTGAGGATGACAACACATGGTTGAGATTTTGGCTTTGTTTGAAATACTTTTTGGCTTGCTAAGAGCATTCTGCAAATAAAAGTCAATCAGCAGTCGGCAGGCTGTGCACGGCACGGCTCTGGGGAAGGAGCTGGGGGACAGCACACAGCCCTCAACAGCACCTCTGTGTAGAGGCATTCCCTTTAGAAACCCCCAAGCCAGAACACCCTTCTCCAATACATGGACATCACTCAGCCCCTCTGAACAGGGCTGCTCTGAAAGTAATGCCTCCTATTTTGTGACATCAGCCCACAGTGTCAGAGGCAGATGTTGGTAGGATTGCAGCAGAGGATGAACCTCCCTGCGTGGAAAAAATCAGCACCCATTGATATTCCTCAGCACCTGATGAATGTTTATGGCACCCAAACGTTGGACGTGGCACAGTGAGAGGTGCATGGTACATTCCAGCAGTGGCACAGTGACTATGGGACTTGTGCAAGTGCTTATAAGTGCAGCATGCAGCTCTTGTTCATCACTGACAACAATGCCTAACTAATAGCAGTGGCTATTAAGGTTATTAAGGAATTAAGTTAACGAGGAGTGGTTTGTAGCTGAGAACATGCTCTACCAAACAGTGTTATTGAGCTCTTTGTATCTGTTGCCGTTTCCATGGAAATAAATAGGAGGCATTACTTCTGGGGAGACTTACACATACCTCTTAAACATTTACATACAGGTACAAGCGTAGGAACAGAATAGCTAGAAGTAGAGATGCCCAAGAGCAAAGCACAGAGCACGCAGCCCATCAGGCTGCAGCCCATGTCCCCCTGTTTGATGGCAGCCCTTGGCCATGACCACTCCTCACCCCCAGCTACTGCCCATAACTGGGGTCTGAGCTTGGGAAATCCCAGCCAATCCCAATTCCATCCCATGGGACACAGAGAAGAGGATCAGGGCGCGCTGGAGGAGAAGAGGGAGGGAGCTTGAATTAAGCAGAAATCTTAACTGGGAACACATGGCAGCAGTCAAAAATACACAACAGTTTCATCAGCTAATTTTCAACTCAAATAAACATCAAACCCTCCCAAGTGCTCCACACGCCTGTAAACAGTGTTGGTCATGTTTCTGTTTTACCCTGAAACAAGAGAGAACAAGCTCCTGCCAGAAGAAATGACTGGAATTAGCTTGTACGATACCAAACAGGACATGGGCTTGTATCCTTACCAACCCTACCATGGGATGTAGCCATCAGCCTCTGCCTCTGAGTGGTCTCATAGTTCAGCACAGAGGTGCTATGGTGGTGAGAGCTGGCTTCAGAGCTGGGAAGGCAGCAGACACAGCTCACCTCTGATGGCTTACAGCATCCAAAGCACTGAGCACGAGTCCAAATGAAGGAAGATTTTCTTTTCAGTTTCCAATGGTGGTTAATTCAAACACATCCACACGTTTTCACAAGGTAAAGAAAAACAGATGGGTCGCACAGAATGCTTTCATACAAGGGAAGTGCTCTTACCTGGACCTCTGCCTCTGAACGCTGAGCTCCTCACAGCCCTGAGGGTGCTCTGCTCAGAACTTTGCATTTCTTACAGCAGTGGAGGTTTTTAAAGAGCTCAGTCTGTTCACTTCAGGGATCAGATATCACTTGACAGTGTCATAGCATTTCCCATGCAGTCAGGGGCCTTATTAAGCCAGCAGCTGGCAGGACACTGCTATGATTTATGAAGCGTAGGTGCTAACTGAACTCAGTAGGTCAGAGGTATGTTTCAAATATCTTAGTGACTCATTAAAACAAAAAACAAAACCGCACAATGGGTACAGCCTGTCCCCAGCACCTACAGGCATCATCCTCAGGCAGGGCACATGTGGTCCAACTGCCATCCTGCAAGGGCAGCCCTGAATCATTCAGGTTGGAAAAGATCGCTGAGATCCCCAAGTTCAACCCCAAACCACCCCACCATGCTCATGACCACATCCCTCAGTGCCACATCCCCATGGTTCTGGATCATCTCCAGGGATGGTGACCCTCTGGGCAGCTGTGCCAGTGCAGCACCACTGCACTCAGCCCCTCCTGCATCTCACCAAAAGTGCAGCCCTGCACATCCTTACAAGGAACAGGTACCACCACCGCCTTTGGTTTGCCCCCTTATAAAAGCTCTGCTGCCAAATACACGTTGCTGTCATTTAGGAGGAGGAAAAAAAAAAAAGAAGTCTTATGATTCCTGCTGCTGTGCTGAGGGATCAGCCCAGGTCACGGCAAGTAATAAGTGGGTGGTTCAGCTCCAGGTGGGACAAGAAATGATGTTTCAGATGCAGAGCTGTCCTGACAAGCCCTGGGCCACGGCACACATCTTCCTGCAGCGAATTTAGAAATATTGAGAAATGGTGAAATCATCCTAAGGAAAAAGAGCAACAGCACCAGGAACAGGAGGAGCAATTCTTGGTAGGAAAACAACCCTCAAAACACTTGTGCAGGGCTGATGGTATTGCTGTTGGAATTACTCCCCAGCTGGAGTCAGAGGGAATGTTCCAAAGCAGCAAAGATAGGATCCTTCCCATTCTGCAGTGAGCACACACAGCAAGATGCCTGGTCTTGAACTGGGAAATGGCTCCGAAGACTATGAGGTCTTGCTCATGGTGGACCATCACCCCACAGCTGAATGATACCTTTTCTTCTTTCTGAAGCAACGAACAGCAGCAGTGGGTGGTGCAACCCCTGTATGACCCTCTTTGATTTTGTAGGGAGGAGATGGGAGCTATAGGGAGAAGGGGGGGGTTCCCCGTTCATTGCAATCACACAGCTCTAGTTGTTTCCTTCTCAGTTCCTACAGAGTGAGGGGAAAAAAGCCTCCTTTCTGCTGGTAAACGCACAGTCTTGCTTTCAGAGTTATGCAATGTTAGAATTTAACACTGATGCGTTTTCATTGTGTAAGCTATTTTAGCAGAAAAGGTCACACCGGATTGATCATCTGAAACAGATGAGAAGTATTCGCCAGCAGGGAGAATGCCAGTTCCCAAAGTGCCAGAACTGGGTCAGTTCCTGAGAAAATTAGGTTGGAAAAAAGCAATAGCAGAGGCTCCGGCACAGCCTCCAGCTTGGCCCCAGCTCAGCAGTGCTGGAGCACGCAGGGAGGAGCAGCAGCGCTGAAAGCCGTCTGCACAAACCTGCTGCTCCAATTGGCTCCCTCTGCAAGTTCAGGACCTTTCTCTTCCTTCATGCACTGTGGCATTGGTATACCTGTCCTCCTCTTTGCAGCAGTGCAGAGCCAAGGCGCTGCCCGCACAGTGTGAGGTGGCCCAGCGTTTATCTGTTGCTCTACGGGCTGAGAACTCAGCATGCTCCCATCCAAATGGAGCAATGCACTTGGAAACTTTATATATATATATGAAGTTATGTATCTATATCTATATATATATGAAGTGATGCTCAATGCAATTGCTTGCCAGCCACCACCTAATGCCCAGCAGTCCCTGAGCAGTGGCAGCTGACTGCCAGCTGCCCTTGGTTTCATGATTTCTCAGTGATGCCAAATGACATGGGATGCTCCTTCGGGCAGCTTGGGCCAGCTACCCTGGCTCTGTGCTCCTCACTAGCAGGGCAGTGGGAGATGCTGAAAACCCAAAATATCCCAGGCTCTGCACAGCATTGCTCACCAACAACCACCACATCAGTGTGATGGTGACATGGCTTTCATCCCAAATCCAAAACATGGCATCACAGCAGACGCTGTGGCACCAGGATGCTCACCAGCAGCCCCGCACGTGCGTTCTGTACAAACCCATTTTTGTTTGAGGAAATAAAGGAAGACCTCTCATTGTAAATGGCAAGCAAAGATCTCATTGCTGGAGACAAGGCAGAGAAATGGGCCAAGTGCTTGAGTGCTTTCTGGTTGAAACACATGATGCAGTCTCGTCTCTGTTGTACCAAATTGGGCTTGTCAGACGATCCGCTGCCTTCCTGTGTTATAAAGCACTGGGATCTGATGGCTCAGAGTAAAAGCTTTCAAGTTTTCAATACAGATCCGCATTAATAAGTCGCTTCCTATGGCACGAAATAAAAAACACAGGGCTCCAGTGATGAGCAGAACGTTTGGGTATCGAACAGCGCGTCTCATCTGATTGAAAGCGATGGTTCTGCAATTGCCAGTGGGAAGGAAAAATCAATGAGTTATAAAAGCCTCTTAATTGCCTCGTGCTTCAGGGAGGCGAGTTGCACAACTTGCTTTAGTAGAGCTCTTTCCAGGGTGCCAGAATAAGAGGATCAGCGATGCAAAGCAGGCCTGTCGCCTCTGGGAAAGCAATGGGAATTGCACAGAGCGGGGCACAGGGAGATGTGCTGGGATAGAGGAGCACAAAGCTGGATGTTGGGAAAAAAAAAAAAAAAAAAAGATCTCTCCTTTGCACTGATAAATAAACACTTGTGGCTTCCACGGACTGCGGGAAGTAAGAAAAGGAGCTCTCCAGCAGCGCCCACTGTCAATATTTACCCTTGTGCTGAGCGCAGGTCTGTTTTCCCTGTCTGTCTGCTGCTGGCTGACTGGGACTATCCCTGCTTTGGACATCTCGAGGAAGGAGTGGCAGCTGTCTGAGTGTGTCTGTGTGAGACAGCCCAGGATCTGGCACAGCTGGGGGCTGTGATTCTTGCAGAGTAGAGAGAAGAGCACAGGTGGCTGCAGGATGGAAGGGGACTGGGAGTGCAGCCCAGCATGCCAGAGCTCTGCCTGCCTGCACACACACCTGGGAGTGAGGAGAAGCACTGAGACAGAGAGCTGGCAGAGCAACAAGTGGGAACTGGCCGATGGCAAAGATAGCCAGGGAGAAAGGAGAAAAGAAACAAAATGCAAAAGAAATAACAAATTCATTTTGGAACTGGAAGGCTCTGCGATATCTCTCAGCAGGAGATGAGGGGACAAGGCCAATGCTGCAGCTGGGCAATGGGTGTCTGGGAGAAACTGAGCAGGGTTCATCAAGAGGTACCTTAGGAAAGCCCAAAGCCTTCCAGCCTTACACCTGTGACTGTAGCTCACCTGAGGTCCCTCCAGGTGCAAGGAATCTGCTTGCAATCTGTGCACAGTGCTGATGGAGCTGAACCCAGTCTGAGCTGCACTTCCTGACCTCAGCACAGCATACTCCCTGTGATGGCTGCCTTGAAGAAGGCTTAGCCCAGTGCCAGGACCCTCCAACAATAAATATTCAGAAAATACAATCTTGGACACCCAGCAAGGCTCCTCTTGCCTCTGGGCCAGCTCTCTGCAGCCACTCTGGGAGACATTTGCGGGCCAGGAGGGGTTGGGTTATGAGCTTTTCCTGTTTGAATTCTTGTTTATCTCCAGCAATTGGATCTGATCCAGTTACTTGGTTCATTTATGCTAGACAATAAAAGACCCCCCAGAGCCTGGTGTTAAGGAGCAGCAGCTTTTCAACATGGGGCTACAATTTGCTGCCTGTGAGGTGGGATCAGTTAACCTGGTTCCCAGGGCAAACCAGTACTCTCCATAAAAGCCTCTCTCCACTCAGCTGGGAGCAGCACACACGATGCTCAGCAGCCAGGCTTCCAAGAGCATTCTATTGCTAATTACTGGGGGAATTCATCCCATCCTGCCCCATACTCAGGACCAATTTGGACCAAGGATGGCTGAGCCTATACTCAGCCCATTACGTGTACAGTGACTGCCTGGTGTCTCACTGTATCCCCACTCCCCTCCTGCATAATATTTCCCCATCAGTGTTTACCCTCAGAAGCAGATTTGCATTGTCCCTGCATACTTTGTTCTTTCTAGCTCAACGCACCAGACTTCCCGAGACAGCACTAATTACTTCCAGTCTTGTTCTTCGGTTGCTTGAGAATTTTATAAACTTTAAAAGGAGTCGTTACGAAAGCAGAGCCCTCTCAGCATCCCAACACCACCACTGTGCAGTTGGAGCAGTATGCACAGGACTCAGCTATTACTGCCCCAACCTTGCAAGGTCCACACCATTATCACAGCTTGGCCTTTCCTCCCTGAGCTCTGCATCCCTGGGGATACAGATCTGCCCTTGGGAGAGGTGGTTTTCCTGCAGCTCTGGGGCTTTTGGAGGATGCAGAGTGCTGATCCGCTCTCTGTCTCTCTTCATATCCCAAATGGTGACCAGAGATGACCGTTGCCATCAGCAGCCCAAATCCCTGCACCTCACACACGGATGTCAGAACACCACGCTTTACTGAGTGTTTCAACAAAGGCAGAAGTTTGGCCCGGTGCTGAACAAACAAAAACTGTTCTTTAAATAATAATGATAATAAAGAAGGCACTCAAAAATTGCTGGACGGATCTGCCCTCTGCAGATGTCAATAAACTGGCACCCACCTCCCTGCACCCAAATGAGCAAGCATTAATCCAGAAAAACTACTTGTCCAGGAACAGAAACCTATTTGAAGATTCCCATATAATGAGAGCATCCTTATGTTGGGAATGAGCACAGGAAGGATTTGGGAATAGCTCACAGGGGATGGGATGCTTCCAGCAGCAGTGATGTAAATACCAAAAAGAAGTATAATTGTGCCCATCTTCAACCCACAATGCCAGCACCACCTTCAGCTCTCTGAGCAGCCAAAGTTATTTCAAGAACACAAATATCATTTCCACTAAAAAAAGTGAGAAGCATGGGGAAACTTTCCCAAATAATTCATACAGGAGCACCGGCAAACACAAATCATTCATCTGTCCTACATCTGCAAAGGCATGTTGAGTTTCAACAGCGCACAACAGCACAGAAAAGCAGACACCCCTCTCCCGCTCCCATTAGCTTAATTGCAGCTGAGTGATATTCAGCTGATCACAGCTTACCGCAACAGCTCCGGATTTTCCTCTGAGCCAGGTAACGCGCAAGGAAAAGGTATTTACCAGCTGTAAAGAAAGAAAACTGGAGCAGGAAAATGAAAGGAAAAGCCTCACATATGTTCCTGGTTCTAGAGAGAGAGTTTCAAGCAGTTGCATCCAAGCAGCCTGCCTGGGAGTGTTCTGTGCATAGGATGCACATGCAGAAATAGGAAGAGGAAGAACACCGCTTGCTCACTGCCCACTGCAGAAATCTGGCTCGACATCCCCTCCCAGACAGCAAAACAAGCACGCTGCACACGTGGGATATAGTAAACAGCCCCACACCAGCAGCGGAGGGATTTTCCTGCCACGAGATGGATGAAGAATCTTGCTTTGTGCAAACGGAAGGATTTTGTGGAAACCCACTGGTTCCAGCTAATTGCTGGTGCTGTTCTGCTTGGCTGCAGGCCAGCTGCTAACAGCACAGGGACAGCATCACAGCAACACGCTATGGGACCTGTGACAAGCATAGGGCTGGAGCCTGGCTGGGAAAATCCTTGACCACCCCGCTGGTCATAGAGGTCACAGACCTCCCAGCTCCTGTAACACGTGGCTGCTGCAGCTCTGCACGTCCTGCACTATGGCTCTGCAGCCCAGAACGGGTGGGTGAAGCTGCAAGGGTTGATGATCGCTGTACGGCTTCGCTTGTGGGAAGAAAATAAAAAAAGAAAAGAAAAAAAAGCATGAAAACAAACCACTCTGCCTTTTTATTCAATGGGAAATTTTGGATTTCACTTCCCCTTGGGGCCTTTCAAACACTGTGAAGCTCCTACTCACCACGGGATATCTCCTCTGCATTATTTCCCATGAAATAGCTTTTGACTAAGGTCATAAAATCATTCAGACCTCTCAGATCCCCAAATCCAGCTAACCCCACCATGCCCATCACCACATCCCTCAGTGCCACATCCTCACTGCTCTGAAGCACCTCCAGGGATATGGTGACCCCACCACCCCCCCCAGCCAATACATCACCACTCTG